TATATATATATATATATTGCCCCCAAAATTAATTATTTAATCCACATATTATTTACTAAAGGTATAATAAATAGAAGATAAAATAGTCAGTTCTTTATGAAGCAGCACTGTAAAATAAATGATAAATAAAATTATCAGAATACCCTCCATCGACAAGCAGACGCATTGAGAGAAAACAACTTATTGACATTTCTTATAATAGTTAATATAATAATAATAGTAACACTTGTTCAATTTAAATTTTATTATATTTTTTTAATTTTTCGTATTACATAACTATATAAAATAATAAAAAATAAATTTAAAATTTTAAAGCAAACACATCTATTTAAATTTTTTAAGAGGTATAACTTATCAACATGAATCAAACAATATAAAACATAATTAAGTATTTTATTCTTTTTCCTAATAATACATCTTAAAAATTAAATGCTGAAAAAATATCCAATTTCTATTCTCTTGCACTCACAAAGTTCTCCAATATTTCTTTTACGATCACTCTTATTTATTTTCCTTTTTGGGTTGGAAATTTTAAAGTCTGAAATTTAAAGTATAATTTTTAAAAACTCATCAGCACGTGGTTTGACCCAAAAAAGAAAGGGAATATAGCCGTCAGCTCCTAAAGAGATGTCCTAAATTTCACAAATATTTTCCTACAATACACGTGAATAATTAATATATATTTTAATTTATCTGTTTTATATTAATGGATTATTATATTAAAAATAGTTATTTTATATTAGTTATTTATTAAAATAATAGTAATTTAAAAGCATTGAACAAGTAAATTATTTATTGATATTTTATAAATACAATAAAAAATAAAAAATAATCAACTAAAATGAAATTAAAAAAAGTATTTGCGAATCTTTTAAGCTATTTATAATCGCTGCTAGTACTTAATAAATGTATTTGTGAGCCTCTATGTCCTTAAAATAAAATTTAAAATGAAGAGGAGTACCTAATTCATTTCATTATTTTATTTTTCTAATCATATCTTATCTTAAATCTTAAAAGATAAGATCCAAAGTCATCGTCTAATGACCAAGTGGAACACGCATAATTAAAATTTTATCATGTTAGTTAATTACCCGTTTTGATAATAAATAAGAAAGATAAAAAAAAATTAAAACTTTTTCGATTTCAATATATGAAATTATATTCGTATTTTGAGAGTCAAATAAATTTATTTACTTATGATTTATGTGTCTTTTAGATATTTTGATTTACTATTAATTATTATGAAATTATTGTATTTTTTAAATATAATTTTCAAATATATAAATTTATTTTACATTTAAAGTCATATTTAAAATTTAAACTATAATAGATAAATTGAAGGAGTTACATAGTTTCTTGGTAAATATGATGAAGCAGCTCCTTTATCCTACACTGATTTTGCTAAAAGGGCAACTGATATCTCTTTTTTAAAATTTAATTTGATAAAAATCAATTGTTATTTGTATTTTACCTTTGAGATCTTGGCATATATATATATATATATATATATATATATATATATATATATATATATATATATATATATATATATAAAATTATTTAGATAGCGTGTTTTTGTCTTATCAGCTTCATTATTATAATTTTTAGTGAAAAGGGTCAAAAATACTCCTTAACTTTAATTCATTGTTTAAATTTATCATCGCCGTTAAAATGGAGTTAATTTTACCCCTCTCCTTACTAATTTTACTAAATTTACCCTCTATTTAATGGATTGATCCAATTTAACTCAATTTTTTTTTAAAAAAAAATCTTTCTTATTTTAACCAAAATAACACAACCCATTTAAAATAATCCGTCCCAATTCTCCACATCTCCTTTACTCATTTATCTATATTTATTTAAAATATAAATAAATGATTTATTTCGAATTCAGGGTATATATATAAATATTTAGAATTAGTATATGATAGACAATTGAAGATGAAATTTTTGAAGGAACGTTACGTTGTGGGAATACTAGTGGTGGACTAGGGGGCTTCTATAACAACTAATTTAACTTGCATTCATAATCAGCAGGGGTGTATATGATTTGGATAAAAATTGATTAAGAAAGTTAAATTTGAGTTTTGTTTATTTTGTTTTACATTTATAATAATTGAGTAATATTTAGTTTAGTTTTGGTTTTTTTCAAAAAAAATAAAAATTGAGTCAACAAATATATACATATTTTTTTATATTTATATACCTAATATATTATTTTTATGAACATTTTATCTATCTTATATGTATTATCATCAAAATTTATTTATAATCTAAGAAGTTCAGTGGAATCAACTAGGAAGCCAGGGGCAGAGTAATTTTGGTTCAAGGAGTTCATCCGAATCCTTTTTGACGGAAAATTATATTATTTATATATTATTAAAATAATATTTTATGTATGTATAGTAGATGTCAAAATCCTTTCGACTAATCCGTGTGTTTATTTCTACGAATTTTGAACTCCTTTATTGAAAATTATGACGAGCATGATTCAGTTGCTGAAGCCTGGCTGTTTCGATTTTGATTTCATTTTCTCCATTTGCAGTGAGATTTCAATTTCAAAGATAAAATATATTATGACAGACAGTATTGATGGATGTCTCTTTTTGAACTAAATTGTTCTTCTATTTTTTCAGCTTATTTTTCTAATTTTTTTTACATAATTAATAGATGAATAATGGGACCAAACTCAGTAACAATCAATTATAAATGTATTATAATGATATTTAGTTTGATTTTAATAATAACGAAATTGATTTGATTGTTACTACCAATCAAAACTGCTTATAAACACCTCTATTAATCAGTATAAAATAACTTATGAGCGTGAATTTTAACTTGGTAGGAAAAATTAACTTCATGCCTTGTTATTAGTTTAGTATATTCTCTTGCACATAAGGCTAAATTAACATGCAATAACAAATAACCGTTCTTCACAAATTTGATTTCGTATATATATAATAATATTTTTAGAGAAGTTAACTTAAATTCTTCTACTAATAAATATAATTATAATGATTTAAGTTTTACGTGTCGTTTACGACTTTGTTATTAAAATAGAATAATATTGAACAAGGCAGCCGCCACACTAGTCCAACTCTTAATAATAAATTCACCATTAAAACCACATTTTCCATTGCTATTTTTTTTTCAAAACGTCTCCACTTTTACATTCTCAGAAATAGCTCTCATATAATTTACTCTCTCTGAAATGGAGAATTATGCAACAATATTTCCATCAGCATCATCGTCGTCGTCTCATCACGATGGATATGTTTCATTAATGAATAGCAAGAGTAGTATCAGTGACGATACAAAAGAGGAATTATTATTCCAAGGGAAGAATAAGGCCGGTTTCTTGGGACTAATGGCAAGCATGGAAACTCCAAGAGATATTATTACTAAAAAAGATGAAGTGATCAAATCGTGTAAGAAGAAGATTAAGAAACCAAGATATGCTTTTCAAACAAGGAGTCAAGTTGATATTCTTGATGATGGTTATAGATGGAGGAAATATGGACAAAAAGCTGTCAAAAACAACAAATTCCCAAGGTTAGTAATATCTCAATTCCATATTCAATCTACCTTTACACACTTTAATTAAATTCCAAGTAACTTAATTACTACTCCCTCCGTCCGGAATTATTTGTCATTTGGGCTTTTCGAAAGTCAATTTGATTTAGATCACATTAATTCGATATTTAAAACAAAAAAATAATTAGATATTCTAAAAATATATGTAAAGTAGTATAAGTTGCAATTTTTTGCATATCAATATGATGGAATAATATATCTTTAAAATGTTAGTCAAATTTTTTATAATTTAACTCTAAAAATACAAATTATGACAAATAATACTAAACGGAGGGAGTATTTTTAGGCCAAATAAAGAAAGAGAAAGTATGGAAAATACACCCTGACACAAATCATTAGTTTTGTTTCTAAACTATTGATACCCCTGTACTTCACTAACTAAACTTTGATACATACATATCCTGATCTACCACATGACATGGAAAGTGATCTCAAACTCTTGTATAAGCATAGACTCTTAATAAAAAGCTGAGAAAAAGTTTCAAAATAACTTTAAATTTAATAAGAATTTAGGAGTGTATTTCATTCATGTTACAAGATATATCGAGGGTGTATTTAAATTCAGGTTGTCAAGCAAAGAGGTGTTTTTAAGGCTGTTATTAGTTTAGGAATGAAACTAATTATTTGTGTTGTTTAAAGGTGTTTTTAAGGCTGTCAATTATTTAGAAATGAAACTAATAATTCACACCAAATTTAGAAATATTTTCAATACTTTATCTTCTAGGTTCTAATCCAAGTCAAAATTGAAGATTCATTTCAAGTTAATATTTGGGACTATTTTTTTTTTTTGAAAGCGTCATTGATCCTTTTCAAAGGGATCTTAAGAACTATGTTAATCTATCCTCAAAAGTGATCTATGTTACGTTTGACGGAATTATAGCAATAATTGTCCAACTACTGTAATATACTAGACTTCACATGCCAAGGGTGAATCCATATTTAGATTATTTTGTTTAAAATAAGTATGATTTTATTATATGCATATATTTTCGTTCTTTTATATAATTTGATCCAAAGCAATTGAAATTGCCTTAGATCTACTTCGTTCTATACTTCAGAATATTTCTTGGTTTATGCTAGATACTATAATTTTGTAAAACTAACGTCCAAAGAAACTTATATTTAGCCCTTTGATGACAAATAAGAGATGTAAGGATCCAGCGAAATCGAGGACACTATTAGAAACACAAATATTTTCTATTATAATTAATGTAAAATTTATGTTATAAAATATGAGTTTCCCATCTCATTTCCATCGATTCAACTTTAGAAAAAAGGATTGTTAAAACAATTTTTTATTGAAAAATACTAAGAATTAAGCTTTCTATTTATTTTTTTTAATGTGAAAATACTACCTTTTTTTTCTATTCTCACTGATTCAATCAGAATAACTGTAAAAGACTGGAACCTAACTGAACATTTTTCTGTGGTGAATTTCAATAAGAAAATAGTGATTTTTTGAATAGCGGGAGTTTCATCAGGATTTTGATTTATTATCTATCAGAAAAAAAAAGTTATTGATATACTAGAACTTTTGAAGTGAAAACATGAAATTGAAATGATCAAAAGTTGTAGGAAATGGAATAGTAAATTGGAATCTATATTTATCCCCACATACTACCAAGTTACAACTATGATCTGCAGGAGTACTCTCTATTCCATGAAATTAATCTGGCTATAGTCATTACAAAAAAAATATATAAAAAATATGTGATATATTTTCCTATTTCAAATGGCTACTATTATTTGGGTAGGGCTAGTGGTTTAGACATGGGAAAATGTTAGGTGAAATTAATTATACAAAAAAAAAATAGAGAAAAAAGTCTAATGCATATTTGGTTGTTGTGGTACTCAACAGGAGCTATTATCGATGCACACATCAAGGATGTAACGTGAAGAAACAAGTACAAAGATTATCAAAGGATGAAGAAGTAGTAGTTACTACTTATGAAGGCATGCATTCACATCCAATTGACAAATCTACGGATAACTTTGAGCACATTTTGAGTCAAATGCAAATCTATAATTCCTTTTAAATATTTATTTTATCTTTCAATGCCTAAGGCTTATATCTTATCTCAATATATATTAGTTACATGTAAAATAATACTGCAGTGTGTATATGTATTTTAAACATATATAGACGCAGATAATTTTATTTTTCACTTATTTTGAGAGTAATTTCTCTAGGTAGTCATTCATATTTGGGAATTATCTAGAAATATCATTTATGTTTGTTTTAGAACTACAATATCACCCAATTTTGTCTATTTTCCTCACATTATGCTTGTCATAAAAAACACGTTATTTTTCTTCTATTAGGATGTCATGTCACATTATATATTTATTTAATATTAAAAAAATATGCTTTAAACCTATTTAAACGTTAAGATGCAATATGTTTTCTTTTTAAAATATTGTTTTCGATTTATGTTTTATGGAAATGTTTTATTTTTTAGAAATATAAAGATTAATTTTAAAAATGAATGAAAAAAGTACCCTATTTCTACAACTAACTACTAATGGATTGTTTTAACCATTTTTTGAAATAAGTTTTTTTTAAAATTTTTTTATTGATAATTATTATCTTTTACTATAAGTTTTTCAATTAATTTTTTAAATAATAATTATAGTTTTCTTACGGTGCACTTTTTCTTCTCCTATTTAGATAAATATTTCTACATTCCATTTTGTTTGAGCATTTCCTAAAATCACTGAAATGTGACCAATATAAATAGACACTACAGTTTTTTTCTATAAAATAATTCAATTTTTATTTTTCATTTTTTAACCTTAAAAATTGAAATTTGAAGCATTTAAAGATCTTTCATTTTTTTCCATAATAGCCATTACTGATTTTATAAAAACAAATAGTTCGATTTCATTTCTTTTCCTTTAAAATGAAATTAGAGGCATTTAAGAATCATTTATTTTTTGCCGTTACAGTTTTTTTTTAACAAAAAGACTTATTTTTTATTTAAAATAGCTATGCTAAAATTTCTGTTTTTTTGTTGTATTTTTAGATCATATTCAAAATGTTTTTTTGAAAAATTAAAATTCTTGAATATTTGTGATGCTGACATGTGTCACTATTTACTTCTCCTATTATATATAGATAGATTTTTTAAAAAAATAAAAAATAGACAAACTCACATATTATACCAAGTAAAAAAAAATTACATTAAGAACTCTAGTATGAGCTCCTCCGATTTTTCAAGAAAGTATGCGGGTTCCTCCGATTCTTTAAAAGAATTAGAAAAATATTAACAATAAATTAAAAAATGTGACATGATACTCTAGTAGGAAAGAAATAATTATTATTTAAAAAATTAATGGAAAAACTTATAAAAACATAATAATTATCATTAAAAAAAAATATTTTACAAAATAATTAAAATAGTCCATTAGTAGTTAGTTGTAGAAATAAGATACTTTCTTTTCATTCATTTTTAAAATTTATCTTTATATACCTAAAAAAAATATTTTCAAAAAATATAAATAGAAAATAATATTTTAAAAAGAAAATATATTGCAACGTGACGTTTAAATAGGTTTAAAGGATATTTTTTGATAATAAATAAATAAATAATGTACATGACATCCTATAGGAGAGAGATAATGTATTTATTGTGTCAAATATAATTTGAGGAAAATAGGTAAAATTGAGTGATATTGCAGTCCTAAAATAAACACAAGTGATATTCTTAGGTAATCTCTCAAACACGAGTGACTATCTAAGGAAATTACTCCTTATTTTTATTATATTATAAAGATTATTTTCAAGCGATGAAAGAAAATAAAGCGTAGTAAATTTAATATCTATTGAATGAGAAATAATACATTTTTTAATCAATTAGATAAAAATATATTTTCTAATAGCAATTTTGTTTCATTTCTATTGCCCATTCAATAAGGTGTTACCCTTCTAATATTTCTATTTATATTTTCTGTTTAGTCCATTTAATATATAATGCTCTGCCTCAATGTGTCACAAAAACTTAAAAGAACAAATATTAGATTATAAATCAAAATACCAAAGAAGTCATAAAAAATGAGAGGTAATATATTAGTAGAACGAAAATCAAAATCAACAAAAATAATATTTTCAGGATTAAAAAAATGGAAATACAATGATAATAATTAAGAAAAAGAAAAATGATCATTGCTCCTCTTTTAATTTATTTTAGTTAACATAACAAGAACCCTAGTATCTACGGTACAACACTTTTCAATAAAATCAGTTCAAGACACATTATCAATTTCGCCAACACCATAAAATAATTTTAAATTGATTAAACACAACTTAATTGTATATATTTTTTTTGCTTATGAACAATAGTTTCTTGTTGAGTTTTCGAATTTACCGATTGGCGTCACAGTTAACTTAAATATATTTTCTATCATCGTTGTCTTTATAGATTTCTTCATTGGGCGCTATAGATAACCTAATGAAGGAGTAACTCCACATGTAGAACTTGTATTTATTCTATTGCTCGTATTTTATAAAAACTTTGTCGCGGTCATGTGTCGGATCTAAAAAATATATAGATTTTAAAGGATAAAACACATGATGATATCTTTTAAAAGTTCGAGTTATATAGAAAAGGCAACTATAGACATGTATTTACCAATATAAATAAAAATCCACACTATCATCAGACTCGATGGAGTTTTCTCATTTACAGTTGCTACATACTTCATGATAAAACTCAATTACACATTGAAAATTGCTGTGTAGGCGATCGTATGTAATATTTTTAGCTTAACTTAAGAGTTGGTATAACAAAATAAAGATGGCAGGAACTTTAAAGAAGGAAAGGAACAAAACAACCGATAGCTCTTCTTGAATAGAAAATGTAGTTTTTGAATTACAAGAGAAAACAAAGCGTGTATATTCTCTATTTACTTACTCCTACTTCTAATATAACTCCTAACTTATAGTGTTTTTATTCCACCAAACAAGCTCCTAACTTACTCCTAAAGTTCCTAACTTTCAACAAATTTCTAAGACTGTTTTGGCCTGGTAAGTGCAGTAAGGAAATAACACATTAAGTTGCATGTCAAGCTCGGAGCCTACACCCTGGACGTGACCGGCACCCAATGACCATTGTTGGCCTTGAGCGAACCCTTTGCCTGACGTACTTAACTCAGCGGAAAACTAACTCAACCCAATCATGAAATAAGAGCACTCTTAAAAGAAAGACTTAAAACATAAAAGTCTGACCAAAATGACACTTAAATCTCAAAACATTTTATCTGAAATAAAAGAGACTTAACTGAATTAAGTGACTATCCGTCCATGAAGCCTCTAACAATACTATGATGAATGTTAGGTCAGACCCCATAACATTCTAAAATTTAAAGACTGAAGCATAAAAAAGGGATCCTCTGGAATGCAAAGAGGCTCACTATTGACTCTGAGTGCTTTAGCTAGATCAACGATGCGTTGGGTGTTGATCCTAGGTACCTGCGTCTGCATCATAAGACGATGCATGACAACATTACATTGAATGTACGAGTATGCGGGTTGAAATGGTAAAACACACTTAAGCTTGAAAAGGAGTAAGAAAGAACACTTACCTCAGCTCTACTCAACTCAAGAATAACTACACATTTCATTATAATGAAATTTAAAAGAAATTTACAATATAAAGAAAACTGTCTGAAACATGTTGAAACTCTGATTGTATGCAAGATACAATTAACTATGACATGTATAAGAAAACAAGTAAACTGATGTTTATGAAAATACAATTAACCTCTGTATATGAAAATACATTAAATTCTCTGGGAGATTCTCTTAACTGACAATCATCACTATGAGCCTAAGCGATTTACAACGTTTTACCTCACGCTGCCAAGGATCATCCTATACCTTGTCATCGGTACAGGACCTTACTTAACTTAGTGGATTCACTAGCTTAACTTACGTGATCATCTAAAAGGTATGATCTTAACACCCATGATGGCTACATGGTTTACATGGGGACTTGAGTTAATATGAACTCTTATCCCCACATCGGTGCTCAATACTACTCCCAGAATATACTTTATCTCATACTCTTAGAATAGCTTTCTTTCTTTGGGTTGAAATATTTGCTCAACACTTTAGCTTTAAAAAACTCCTTTGGAATCAATGTTCCCCTTTCTTGTTCAAAAATCTTTTAGGAAATTTTTGTTTCCTTTTAACTTAAATGAAAAACATTTATAAACTTTTTAGGGAATACTTAGTTCTCTTATATCTTTTGAGAAATGAACTCAACTCTTTACTCTTTGATTTCTTGAAACTTTTTATCTTAATCAACTCTTTAGGGAATAGTTAGCTCTCTTATACTTCTTTGAAGGAAAGACTTCAACTTTTACTCTTTGTTTAATTTGGAACTTGAACCTTAAAATGAAGTTAAAACGTTTAGATAGGACTCTTGGAAGCTTTAAGAAACTTTACTTTAACTCACTTCATAGCTTTAGACTTAACTGCTTAACTCCCTTGACTTTGATCTTAACTTTCCTTGAATGGATTATAGATTCAAGGTTTCAATTTGAGTTCTTTGATGATTTCAAGGTATTTAGAAATCATTTAAAGTAATTAGAATCATTAGAATATGTTTATGTACCTTGGAAGGACTTAAAAAGACTAAACTACAAATACTGGACGAAAAAAACCGGGATAGGCGTACTGGTCACGTGCCGCACTAGCCTCAGTTGATTGAGGCCTTATTCTGGCGCACTGATGGTGCGCCGCGCTAGGCCTTGGTTGATTGAGGCCAATTTTTGGCGCACTCGCCTGCCCTTACCTAGGCACGTCTGACAAATTTTTCAACTCATTTTTCATCTCCAAACCCTCCTAACTTTCATAGTTCTTTCACTAAACGATTGGGACTATTGGTACTATCAATAACTACGGAATTCAACTCAAAATAACTTGGAGAAACAAGAATCTAACCAACAATGGCAGCCAGCAATCCAATCAACAAGAAATCAAAACTTTCCTTCAAGAATTTAGCTTTTAACATAAAATCAATTCATAAATTCGCTGAATTGTAATAATTTGGTCTGTGGTGAATCAACCCAACATGAAAGATCCCACATACCTGAATAGGGATCACCCCCGATGAATTCCACTAGAATCTCTTGGTGTTCTTAGCAAAATTTTGCTCTTTCTCCCTTGTTCTTCTTCTTT